GGCAAGCGCCAGAGATAGGGCCCCCGTCGCGGACTCTACTTCCTCGCCCTCGGTGTCCTCCTCCGGGGAAGGATCCCTTCGAGAAGATCGCCGACGGAGTCGAGTGCTCCTGAAAGGAGGAACCCAAGAGGAAGTTGTGTCTCCCGACGGCTCTTGAGGAGGAATATCGGGAGACACCCAGAATCCGAGACCCCGAAAATACGAGTCCTTGAGGAGGAGCGCGCGGGGGACCGGATAGCCGTTCTTGCGAAGAAGACGGAAGACCCCCTCGAGCTCCGAGTCGCGAGGGGGAAAAGGGTGAGAAGGGAACTTATCTTCCTTCTTCCGCCACACGTTGGGGAAGGGAAGATCTTCGGGAACTACCACCACGAAGAAGCGGCGGAACCAATCGTCAAGTTTGTCGATCGGGCTATCCAAAAACTGCATATCGGTCCGGGCCGTGAAGCTCACGAACCCCCGGCCCAACTCGCCATCATACTTGTGGGGACGGAAGAAAGAGAGGAAGAGCTTCAGAGTGGGTTGGATGCCTCTCTTGTGACACCGCGCCAAGAAGCCAAAAAGACTCTCGTGGGAGTTTGAGGAAATCTGACCAGGAGGTATGGCGTAGCGGTTGCAAAGTTCGACCAAAAGGGGATGGAGAGGGAAGCGGCATCCCATCCTAACCGAGTCGTAGTGGACGACCAGTCGGCGGGAGATGTCAGGATTGCGCTCCAAAGTAGTACCCGTGGCTTCCTGGACGCCATAATCAGGAGGAATGACTCCCCTCATCTCCCCCAATTGCGCAGGAGTAATGGAGGAAACATTCTCGTCCTCCTTGGATTTCTTGCCGCCGTTGAAGATCTTGGAAACCTTGGAGATTGTCTTCTTCATGGTGAGCGAGAGTAAAGGTCTTTGGAAGAAGAGAGGATGATTCGGTAGGGATAAAGGCAGGAGAAGTGAAGAGTTGCGTGTGGGCGTGAAGAAGGAGAGGGGAGAGGGACCGTATTTATAGAGAGAAAGAAGAGGGAGAAGAAACGGTCCACTCTCAATATCTCTTTGCAACGGTAAGAATTTTGAATGGCACCTATTTCGAAACGGCCCTACGCAGCAATTGAGGGAATCAGAGGGACCGGTCAAAAGGGGTTCGGAAAAATGGGCCATGGGTATTTAAGTGGCGCAGACTTCCAGGCGGTCCACACTGGCAATTCCCCAGGCCTGCGGCCCTCTGTTGCCACCCCTTTTTCGTGCTATGGTCAGCCATTATTAAGGTGACGTGGGCCATTGGCACCCCAGGCAGTGATTGGAGAGATATGCGGCACCACGATCCAAGGAGTGTGTGACCAAAAGACAGTCCAGTCGGCCAATTATTCATCCAAGGCCCGTGGTCCGCAAAGATGCGCTACAGAAAACATCCGCAGTAAATACAAAGTGGATGATGGGGTTTTCCCCAAAAAGAGGATCTTCGTCAAAAAAAAAATTAGGGACAGAGGAGAAACTTTCTAATAGAGCATGCGAGAAAGACTACAGTCAAAAAATCTTTTATTTTTTGACTTATAAAAAAAGGGGCATGTGATGGGAACCAAGCCCATCGAGAGAATACTAGCGAATTGGGCCCAGGCCCAATTTAGATTCCGTCCATCAAAAGGAGGGTCCGACCCAGAGAAAATATATTTGGCCAGTCAAAGGAAGTTATCCGTGAGAAAAGATAGGAAAAAGGAAAAGGATTGGGGGCTTAAGAATGGGCTGAAGCCCAGCCCACTAAGAATAAGCTACCCCAAAAGGAAAGAAATCGTATGGAAGAGTCTAGAGCTGTCCCCCCTAATTGAAGGGACAAGGACAAGAAGAAAGGGACGGACAGGGAGCAAGAGATGACGGACAGGCTTGTCCTCCAGTGGACGGCCTCAAGCTGAGATACATCCCCACAGATGGAGGAAGGCTGGCACGAATATTCCCCCAATCACTGCCATTATTGAAGAGGATAATGGATGAGGAGTGCCTATAAAAGAAAGAGGGACTTGGGGAATGGAGGATATCTTGTAATGAGGAGAGAAAATACGTGAGTAAATAATAAAAGATATTCTGGCGATCCTCAAGCATATTCCGTTCCTAAGAGGACCGAATAAAGGAGAGGACCGCCGATTTGAGTTATTATTTAGTGAGCAGTGCTTCTATTACTATTAATTATTATTCTCGTATTATCTTTTAACATTATAAGGCCCGGATACCTATATTTGGACCTAGGCCGATCTACAGTCCTTGGGAAAATATTGGGTATCCATCAAAAAATAAAACATACATATTTAAAAACAACATCAAAAGTTCAACAAAACAAGTGGTGACAAGAATATTTTATTTTATCATATAGGCCATGAAAAAACACAAATAAATATAAATTCCCGTGAAGCTAGAAAAGTGCTCTGGGAAGAAAGTTTTAGGAGGACGGGAGTATAATATAACTTTTTCGTCCCTTTTATTTACATGGCGCAATTCTATTGCATGGACGTCAATTACCAAAGTACTTTGCCACTCATTTCTTTCTTTTATACTCCTTTATATTTTAAAAAAATGTCACATTTTAATATTTAAAAATTACTAGAATTTTTATTTATTTGTAAGTTTTCACCATTACTTGAATATTTTTTTTGTTTTACGTAATGTGAAAAAACATTTTAGAAAAGAGAGAGTGGAAAACATAGGAAACATGAAGTTTATTTGATACTCACGAAAGAAAGAGTGAAATTCAGTTTAGGACAGAGAGAATATTATTTAAGCATTTGCCTTTTGGAATATACTCATTTTCTTATACTAGTGCGTTGATTTTTTTAAATGAACAATATATTTATTTTATTTCGAATTATATCAAGGGTCTGTTTGGTATACGGAATTGACAGAATTAGATTTGAATTAGGAGTTAAAATTTTATAGAAGTAATTCAGATAAAATTGAATACTCCATTTCGGACTCATTTTTTCCATTACCGATTCCAAATCCATATATGTTTGTGCTACCAAAAACAGAATTGGAATTGTTGTTTTCAATTCTAATTTCATAATTTGAATTCTGTATAACAAACGAAACCTAGAGGTATTGTGATATTGCTTTAGTTGTGCAAATTAGTCCCAGGCCTACTTAGATTATATTTCAATAAAATAGTCTGCACAATAGACAAAAACCATCTTTTGGGTTTCTATTGCAAACTCAAAAGGATTATGCTATGTGTACCCCAAGGGTTGTACCCCAATTTCTACTCCGCAGTTTTGCACCAATACTTTTTGTTAGTGTAAAACTAATTTTTGTTAAATACACCAACATTTGTGTATGTGTGAATTGTTATTAACGCACCAACACTTGTGTCGGTGTAAACCATCAAAATATTTATGCAAACATGTGGTGTACAAATGGGGTATATTTTACGGTGTATGTGTAGCATGGTTCAACTCAAAACTCGTGAAATTCAAAACGGAATTTTTCTTTGGGCGGTGGAGAGTTGAGAGAGAATAGGAAAGTGATTGAGACCTTTTTTTGGACGGTCGGTCCAGTTTATACGCCACGTTTGTTTCACAATTATTTGCCTTTTTCATCGTACAATATTGAAAAGGTGATTCAATTTTCAATTTCTCCATACATATATAGAATTTCTCATTTCCCGTCCAAAGTTTTAAGGGTAAAATTATCTAAAATGATCTCACATTTACGCGCTTTGAATAATCTCACCTTAACTAATTACGTGTAGTACTCTCACTTTTTTTTCTTGTGTGGGCGTTTTGGAAACTAAACTAAAGTAAAAATACCAAGTTTTTTCAAAATTGACACTTTGAATTTTTTTGATAGTCCGGTAATTTGTTTCCTTGCCGGTACTATTTTTTTCCTAAGGGCACTACAAATCTTTTTTGTGATAATACATTACTATTTTATTCTAAAATAACACTACAAAGTTGTGAACTGTACCTTTTTAAAATAGTGAAATTTGCACTAAATAGGACTAAAACATAATGACTTTTCTAATGTAGGACTTAAACTTTTTTATTCCTTAAATAGGATTTAATAATGACCTAGTGGAAGAAACAATGTCCAGTAATGATGGACATTTAATTGAATAATGACTACTTGATAATGACCAAAGGTCCTACATAGGGAAATAAAAACATATAGTTCTATATTGGGAAAGTCATTATGTTTTAGTCCTATTTAGGTAAATTTCTCTTTAAAATACACATAAATTTCAAATAAGGGCGTACTGAAATATTTCTAAACACATAAACCCAAATAATAGAGTTCTTTTAAAACTTTAAGAAATAAAATTAATCGCAAATAATATCAATTTTCTTTTCATAACGGGAAATAAATCTTTTTTAAAAAAGCCCTGTTAGGTCACTGTTACCTCCCTAACAGTGACCCAAAATACAAACAGAAGCGAAAAGTCAATGTTATTACACAAAATTTTTAAAGATGGGATTATTTTTTAAAAAATTGTATAAATGTTAAATTATTTCACATAATTTTCCCAAAAAATAAAGCATACCCCGTATACCAACAGTGCTACATGTACAAACTCCGCCCAGAAGAATTAAAATGACCCATAAAAACATTCTATCAGCCCAATGCCCAAAATAGGGTCCACCCAAAATTATACTGACATCAGCATGATTAAAGCAAAGAGTTAGATATTTGTATAATCCCATAATTGGGTGGATTTGTTTTTTTTTTGGATTGGGTAACCCATATGCCCCATATTCTCTATAGACCAGATAGTGGATAATCGTTTTGGGACAGTTCACGTGACATTCGATTTAAATGTCATAACATTACGATTTTTATTTAATTGAAGCTCAAAGTTTGACTCGAAAAAGTCAAACTTGACAAATACACTAGAACGAAGGGAGTTAAAGTTCATAAAATAAATGTGATCTTTAGCATCACGAAAGAATTTTCCTATGAACGGAATAAAACAATATTTGAAATGTTGTTTTAGTGGTCGGAAGACCAAATAAGAGGTAGTGGAAGTTAAGGATTTGAGTGGCACTTAAAAGGTGATTACAAATTTTCATTTTGGTCACGTAGTAATCCGCGTGGATTGGTAGTAGCCACAAATGTAAAGGACTTCCCCCCTTTGACTTTCTAATAGATTGATCGACCTTAATACTCCTAGCTAATTGTTTATTCCAAGTAAATTGTTCAAAACAGCTGGAAATTAAACGTCCGATTTGTGACAACGTTTAAGGAGAAGAATGGTGAGAAAAAAAGAGTTTTCTAGTCCTTGTTGATGAGAAAAGAGATTGAAATTATTATATTGCGGAGTAATAATATTAGATTTTTAAATTATATATACTTAAATATGTAATATTATTCGAGTTATTCTTTTGAGTACTATTATTTGAGTCATTCTGTTTTATATAAACTAAAAATGTGTAATATAAATTTTAATTTAAAAAAATATGACAATGTTGGTGATTTTGTGTCATTGGCTACTTTATGTAATTAGATGTATTTAGATCAGACCAGAATTTGAATAGACGATTTCAAAAGAGTTAGGAGGTGCGGAGTGCATGAATGCTTGTTTAACGATATTACAAATTCATACAAGGAGTCCGGGGGCCGACAGCCCCCGATAGCAGGGTTCAAGGGACAGAGCCTCTCACCGGGGTCTAAAATATTAAAAAATTCTTTAGATTTTTGTGAACGGAGCCCAAAACGTTTAAGAATTGAACGTATGAATACACATATCATATTAGCCCAAAACTGCATGCAACTCTTTGCATGGATGTTTCTTTATGCGAGCCAATGTGTCTTATCACGTTTTTGTCTCTACAAATATAGAGACGCAGGTATGTTTGACACGGTCGAAATTCATTGTCTGTTTTTGTATTGATGTCTTATCCGATTGAAGTATTTTGGTAAGGTATACTATGAAATAACGTCGTTAAATCGAAAGCATGTTCTCACGCAATTCGTTCGATCTATCAAGTTCATTTTTCACGTTCGTATACCTTCTTCATAATGTTACGGAGTATTTCGCAGCGTTACAATTCCTCCCTATAATATTCCAATTGACGATGCAATAAAATACGGAGTAACTTGCATAGACACCATTAAAGTTCTAGTGTACAAAATATTAATTAAGATTGAAGAAATACATCAAATAATAATAGTAATAATGGGAAAAGCCCTACTGCAAAAGCCAATAAAGTTCAGAAATTAAATCAGGATTTTACCGTGTTTGGAAAGGGGGAAATGGCCTCCAAAAAATTACTTATGGAACTAGAAGTCATTTGTGCAGTAGTAAATAGTACTCCGTATTAAAATATACTCCCTCCGTCCCATGAAACATAAGATGTTTTGCTTTTTGAAGAGATTTAAGAGAGTGTATTTTGATATTGAATTTCCAAAAATGTCTTTTGATGTGATGGGTAAAGTAGAATTTGATGGGTAGATTATTAGTAAAAAGGTATGATGTGACAGGTAGGGTATGAAAAAGTAAGGGATAAAAGTGACTTTTTTATAGAAATGAGAAGTGTTTTATGGGACGGATGAAAAAAGAAAGGAGAAAGGTTTTATGGGACGGAGGAAGTATGTCATTTCTTAATGTAGTACTTAAACTTTTGT